TCTATTAAGAAGCAAAATCATTCAATATGCTGACGACACTCCGATAATATCAGTCAATCTCTTGATTAGAACCATAAACACCACATTTTATGTAACAAATTCAATATGTTTCCTGTATTTTTTACAAACAGAAATGCATCACTTTATTGGGAACACCTTGCTAGTACCGGGTTGGACCCCCTTTTGCCTTCAGATCTGCCTTAATCCTTTGTGGCATAGATTCGACAAGCTACTGGAAACAGTCTTCAGGGATTTGGGTCTATAATGATATGATGGCATTACGCAGTTGCTGCAGATTTGTTGGCTGCACACCCATCATGCGAATCTCCTGTTCCACCACATCCCAAAGGTGCTCCATTGGATTGATTTCTGGTGACTGTGGAGGTAATTTGAGTACAGTGAACTCATTGTCATGTTCAAGAAAACATTCTGAGATGACTAGAGCTTTATGACATGGTGCATTATCCTGCTGGAAGTAGCCATCACAAGATGGGTACACTGTGGTCATAAAGGGATGGACACGGTCGGCAGCAATGCTCAGGTGGCGTAGCAACGATGACCAATTAGTACTAAAGGGCCCGATGTCTGCCAAGAAAATGTCCCCCACACCATTACACCACCACCACCAGCGGTGAACCATTGATGCAAGGCTTGATGGATCCATGCTTTAATGCCAAATTCTGACCCTACCATCCGAATAACACAGCAGAAATGAAGACCCGTCAGACCAGCCAACACTTTTCCAATCTTCTATTGTCCAATTATGGTGAGGCTGTGTGACTGTAGCCTCGGTTTCCTGTTGTTAGCGGACAGGAGTGACACCCGGTGAGGTCTTCTGCTGCTGTAGCCCATCTACCTGAAGCTTCGACGTGTTGTGTGTTCAGAGATGCTCTTCTGCACACCTTGGTTGTAACGAGTGGTTATGTAAGCTACTGTAACCTTTCTATCAGCTTGAACTAGCCTGGCCATTCTCCTCTGACCTCTGGCATCAACGAGGCATTTTCGCCAACAGAACTGCTGCTCACTGGATGTTTCCTTTTGTCGCACTGTTCTCTGTAAACCCTAGAGATGGTTGTGTGTGACAATCCCAGAAGATCAGCAGTTTCCGTGATACTCAGACCAACCCGTCTGGCACCAACAACCATGCCAGGTTCAGAGTCACTCAAAGGTGCAGAATGTAAGAATATCGTGAGAATTATACAGTGAGAAAATCCTAAAAGAGTCTAATGTTTCAGACATTTTGGAAAGAAGGTTATACTGAAACATATTTCATATCCAGCTGGCTGTGGGAATTGCCAGTTTTTCTCCTTTCAAAATAAAGATATGAGGGACGTAACTACTGTTTACCATCAGTGGGTGTGGGGTCGCCGTGTCTTCTGTGAGCTGATACTGCAGCGCCCACAACTGTAATTTGATGACGGCCGGGAAAAAGCTCCAGAGTTGTTTAAAGTGGTTGCAGTAACCAAATTTTACCACAGGATGCATTTTTCACTTAATTTCTACAAAATGCACCTTTAAACCACTTTTCTTCCCCATTCTGAAACTATGTTTGAACTGCAGCAGATCGTCTTGACCACGTCAACACGCCTACATGCATTGAGTTGCCACCACGTGATTAGCCGATTCGTCATTTGCGTTAACGAGCAGTTGGACAGGCGTACCCAATAAAGTGGCCAGTAAGTGTATTAATAGCTATACTATACTAGAACGTTGTTAAGACGAATGAAAAAAATGTCTTAAGCTAATTTGTTTTCCAAATTTGGGTAACGCTTCCTTTTGCAGTCCCCTAATTACCAAGTACTTACACGGTAATTACACAGTAAGTTGAAGTGTATTATTGTTTCTGAGTTCTTAAACAGTTCTTACCATGTAACTCAGTTTCAATTCTAGTTCTTATTTTATTCATCATTCCCAGTAAATACTGCTTTACACAACAATTACACCTTATTGCATTTATACACTTTAATTATGATCCATGTTATACTGTCAAGTAGGTCCATGGATGTGAAGTTTGTGGCACCCTGCGGGGGAGCACGAGGACGTGCTTGTGGAAAGAGGGGGGGGGGGGATGTGACAGTGTGAGCATCCTGTCACAGTGTCCCGATTGATCATGCCCGCTGGCTACTTGGCCAAGGGGATGTCCCTTTGGCTGACTGGTTAGCGCGCATGACTCTCACCCGGGAGTCTGGGGATCGAATCCCCGTCCAGGCCCTCGTTTCTCCACCTTGCCACATTTGGCGTTGTTGGCAGGATCCATGTAGTACTGTCAAAAGGTGGACTAACGAGGGCCCGGGCGGGATTCGATCCCCAGACTCCCGGGTGAGAGTCATGAACCCTAACCAGTCAGCCAAAGGGACATCCCCTTGGCCAAGCAGCCAGGGTCATGATCAATCGGGACTCTGTGACAGGACGCTCACACTGTCACAATTACACAATAATAGAGTTTAACTTACTGTGTAATTACCATGTAAGTACTTAGTAATTAGGGGGATGTAAAAGGAAGTGTTACCCAAATTTGTTATTAGAGTTTTAAGCATTAATGATGATGTTTTCATTAAAGGTGCATTATGGAAGTGTGACAGCCAAAACATGTATAGAAATAATAAATGTCTTCTTCATACATTCTCCTGCAATGCCCTGGTCCTGTAGAATGAGCCCTGGCATTTTTACTGTGATTGCCTGTTTTTCTGTAAAATCACAGAAAAAGAGAGATGCTCGGGTCGAGCAGGCTGCTTCATGCGCGTTCACGCTCAGGCATCGCCCGTAGCATTTGCTATCCGTAGCTTTAGCAGCAGAGAGAGAGGCAGTGCCACTTTGTCGCTGTTCCTAACGCCTAGTGACAAAGCTAGCTACATTTCTGAGGACCCTTAGCTACTTTCTGTAGAACTTTCTTCTAGATATTTCCTGCTAATTAGCAACAAAATAGCCATTTTCACTCCGAACCGTTCTTTGAACGTTGTTTCAGCTGTCATCAAGGATATAAATGTTACAGATATGTAAGACATCACTGGCACTTTAGCTCACCTAGTAAGACATCGGACTCTTGTGCAGAAGACTCGGTTTCGATTCTGGATGTGAATATAGTTTATTTAGGGTTTATTTTTTACATTAATGGTATATTTTTTACAATAAGATGCCCAAATTTTTATTTGAGACTCGCTGAACGGCATTGAATTCACAGATAAAAAAATGTGGGTTCAACTTTCATTTTGGAACAATTTTTCAAGCAAGGGAAGGGAATGATCTGAGCATGCAGGAGGACTGACCCATCATAAACCTTTGTCGGCTGTGCTGAAGAGAAAGGTACAGAACCAAATTATTTAATTAATTAGCTGCGTGTTCTCCTGTCCTCTGTCCTCCAGGCCACACACACACACACACACACACACACACACACACACACACACACACACACACACACACACACACACACACACACACACACACAAACACACACACACACGCACACGCACGCACACACACACACTCACGCACACACACACACACACACGCACACGGGACTGTCTCAGCTGTTATTTTCGTTAAGAAGTGTGCACGTACAGCATGCGCACCTCGTGCACGAGCCTACTATTGAAGCTGCCATTACGCTTTTTGCCTGAGGGGGCAATCGCGAGCATAAAAATTCAAAACTCCATAAAGTCCCTTTAAGGTAAGAAAAGACGACAGAGGGAAGGGGATGAGTTAACAAACATGGAATCTTTTGAGCATTTTTATCAACTTCTGGTAAGGTTAAATTATATTAGCTTATTAGATATATTACATTTATACTCAACTAAAACGAAGCTAGTATAGTGAGCGTGCACTTGCATTTGACCCAATACCTGGATTATAACTGGAGTTATCATATTTGATAAATGGGTCAAAAGACTAAAACCTGCAGAGATTTTCTCATCGAAGGTCAAATGAATGGAGGACTGGCCCATAGAGCGCTATAGGAAATGGTTTAAAAGGAGAAACCTGTTTATGTCATTCGAGATGACCTTCACGCGAATCGCAGCTCGACCGGGTCGGGAGTGTTTTCGTGGTCTGAAGAGCTTATTTGACTTTGGACAATAAGTCTAAAAGACGATGTTTAGTTGAGGTGAAGCAGGATTATTTTTCCAGCCTAATTTGAAGCAGTAGGCTCTCTACCCTCCAATTTTCTCGCAGACTCGCTTTCTCTCCTCCTCTCGCTGTAATCCGCCGTCATCTTGATCAGAGGCAGACACGGAAAATTAAACAAATAAACTCTGATGCTTCGGATAACATTCCCCTCTGATTGACCCGACCCCGTGACCTGAGAGACACTCAGGCTGGGGTCATGACCCCACAGTGGCGTTGGCTCTCAGCGTCACAGGAGCCCCAGTGTATTGGTTTGGTCTTTGTGTCATGACCTGCAGGAAAACATGCAGTAAAATAAAGTTCAGTCCAGTCGGCTTGAGGCCGCGTTACACCTCAGAGACAACAGAGAAGCCTGATCCCAGCAGCCTCGTACGGGACGTCAGGAAAATTCGAAAACTGGAAGCTGCGATGCAGACGGGAGATGAAAGATAAGATTAAAAGTAAGATAAAAGATTAAAAACTATCTAAAAATGATTCTGACTTACCAAAATAGATCCAATTGGTCCATGGACGAACACAGGACTTCTGCCCTGGGATGTCCAGCACCAGCAGGTTTATAAAGAATCCCTAAAACCTCATTGGTCCGGTTGGTTCAGGCTTGTGAGTGCTACAGCAGACCGTGGTGGTGTAGCACTGTCGGAGAAGGGTTTTGTTCAAATTTCACTTGCATCAAGTTTCTGTCATTTGCATTTTGAAGTTGTGCAGCAGAACGGAGATTAAATAACTTTAGCATCAGGAAAACTGTTTTAATTGTGTTTTCTGGGATGCTGGTTGCATCCTCACGTTCTTACAGTCTGTTCAGTTTATTTTAACAGAAGTGGTTTAAGGGTTGGAGACAAAAAAATCATCCATCCATCTATTTTCTTCTGCTTATCCAGAGTCGGGTCGCGGGGGCAGCAGCTTAATTTGAGAGGCCCAGACTTCCTGCTCCCCAGCCACTTGGGCCAGCTCTTCTGGGGGAATCCCAAGGCGTTCCCTAGCCAGGTGAGACATAAGCCTGAGTCATGCTTCTCCATCAGCTCCAAAAGCACGCACGGAGACATTTTGCCCTCATACTTCTCCGACTCCTGGGGGGCGTCGCAAAGCAATTCCCCACCAGGACAGCAATTCAATTAAATTCAATTCAATTTCATTTATAAAGCGTCAAGTCACGACAAGAGTCGTCTCAAGGCACTTCACATAATAAACATTCCAATACAGGTCAGTTCATTAAGCCAATCAGAAAAAAGTTTCCTACATAAGGAACCCAGCAGGTTGCATCGAGTCACTGACTAGTGTCAGTGACTATACAGCAATCCTCATACTAAGCAAGCATTTAGCGACAGTGGAGAGGAAAACTCCCTTTTAACAGGAAGAAACCTCCAGAGAATCCTGGCTCAGTATAAGCAGCCATCCTCCACAACTCACTGGGGATGGAGAAGACAGAGCAGAGACACACACACACACACACACACACACACACACACACACACACACACACACACACACACACACACACACACACACACACACACACACACACACACACACACACACACACACACACACACACACAAACACACACACACACACACACACACACACACACACACACACACACACACACACACACACACACACAGTAGTGTGTCTATAGTTATATTGTGATTTCATAGTAAATATTCTATTTGGTGAGAGATAAACTTTATTGTATTAATCCTAGTGGATCTATAATTAAACGGGTAAACTAGTAGTAGCACATCCAACGTCAAGGAAAGTAATTCAATTCAATTCAAAAATACTTTATTAATCCCAGAGGGAAATTGATTATGTTGAACATTTTATTATCAGGAGGGGGAGAATGTTTAAGTGGTTAGCAGCAGTGTGCTAGACGATAGCCCCCTCCATGAGGCCACCACAGCTCAGCAGAACATCGTTGTAGCTTCTTCTGGGGAGAAAAACACTTAGAGAGAAAATAAAGTTAACAGCTGAAATAGCAGGAAATAATACAGTTAAAGAGCAGATTGTAGAAGAAAGCAGTAGAGTGTGAAAAGTGGTCAGTGTATCCTCCAGCAGTCTAAGCCTATAGCAGCATAACTACAGAGATAACTCTGGATCATCTATCCTATTTAGATGGAGGCATGTTGGAGGCAGGGCAAGGGAGAGCCGTCTTTACTGACTGTACACTCCACCTCCCTCTACTCCCCCACTTGTCCAGATCTGGGCTAACATCAGATTTTAACCATAGGCCCTATCAAATAAAAAATGTTTTAAGCCTATTCTTAAAAGTAGACAAGGGCGTAGCGCTGTTCTGTGGTATCCTGTCATGTATCGGTCCAAGATGGTGTGTTTATATTGTGTGTTTTTGTTTATAAGAGACTTTTTAACACGGACAAATTTGTCTCTCATCCTCCTCCACCTCTTCAAGCGCTCGCCACCTCTAAACCCACGTTTCCTGTCATTTCCGTCCACAAATAAAATGCTTGCTGCGTATCTTTTCACTCCTCCAGTCACGGGGAATTAAACATTCATGTTTTAGAGTTTTCTGTGAGGTATTCTTCAAGCTCCTCCGTGTCTGCTGCTAGTTATCCACAGCTCTCTTTATGTTTGTGAGGGCGCAATGGCGGCGCTGTAGACGACAGCGGCGTCCTGACCAATAGAAGAAGAAAGATGAAAGAAAATATAATTTCTATAGCGCCTCTCAAGATAAAAATCATGAGGCGCTTCACAAAAACAAAAACTGTATTTGGAGAATGATTAAAATATATTTAAAATGAGCAAAAAATAGACAATTGTGATTAAAAATGTAAAGAAAGAGAGAGAGTGAACAGGAAAGAGGGAAATCAGTGGATCCTGAGGAAGGTGGAATAGGTGGGGAGAGGAGAACAAGGAGAGGGTGATGAAGTAACACCAAAACCTGAACAAGTGAGTCTTCAGCTGCTTTTTAAAGGAGACCACTGAGTCCACTGATCTCAGGCTCAGGGGGAGAGAGGTCCAGAGTCTGGGGGCCACAGCAGCAGATGATCTGTCACCTTTGACCTTTAGCCTGGTGCTGCACAACCAGTAGGCTTTGATCACTGGACCTCAGGGACCTGCTGGGGGTGTAGGGACTAAGAAGATCACCAATGTAAGATGGTGCTTGTCCATGTAAGGCCCTATAGACCAGAACCAGGATCTTGAAATGAACCCTGAAGTTGACTGGCAGCCAGTGAAGCTGGAGGAGAAGCGGGGTGATGTGGGTGTGTTTGGAGGACTTGGTCAGAAGCCGAGCACAGGCGTTCTGAACCACCTGTAGACGGTTCAGGGAGGTTCTGCTCAGACACGTGAAAAGAGAGTTACAGTAGTCTAAGCGTGAGGAGATGAAGGTGTGGAGAACTGTCTCAAGTTCAGAGCGGGACAGAATGGGACTCAGCTTAGCAACGTTCCTGAGATGGAAGAAGGAAGAGCGAATACCCCCAGCAGGTCCCTGAGGTCCAGTGATCAAAGCCTACTGGTTGTGCAGCACCAGGCTAAAGGTCAAAGGTGACAGATCATTTGCTGCTGTGGCCCCCAGACTCTGGAACTCTCTCCCCTTGAGCCTGAGATCAGTGGACTCAGTGGTCTCCTTTAAAAAGCAGCTGAAGACTCACCTGTTCAAGCTGGTTTTGGTGTGACCTTCACCACCCTCTCCTTGTTCTCCTCTCCCCACCTATTCCACCTTCCTCAGGATCCACTGGTTTCCCTCTTTCCTGTTCACTATCTCTCTTTCTTTACATTTTTTAATCACAATTGTCTATTTTTGCTCATTTTAAATATATTTTAACCATTTTCTAAATTCTTTTTTATATTTTGCATTTTTTGTTTTTGTGAAGCGCCTTGTGATTTTTATCTGGAGAGGCGCTATAGAAATCATCTTCTTCTTCTTCTTCTTCTTCTTCTTCTTCTTCTTCTCTCAATTTTTTTCTCTTAAACAGTCAAACGTGTGTTTGCAACCTCTTAAGCTCTTCACATGATTGCAAACAAACTGCAACTGAAATGTCTTTTTGCAGTTTGATGCCCAGCTGTTCTCACAGTCGTCTCACATTTTCTCGCACATGTTGATTAACAGAAATTAAAAATAACGAAGCGTTTGAAAGAAAGTTTGTTGTGTGTATTTTTTAAACGTGTGATCTCATCACAGACAACCTTGGAGAGACGTTTGCAACGCTTCCGATGAAGTGCTGCTTGCAGGTTTTTGAAGCCCAAGAGAAACCGGGTTCAGCATCCAAAAATCTGTTTGTGTATTTAGATGAATTTCTGATCAGATGTGTAAAATCTTACTAGATTTCTTTTGCTGTTTACTCATTCATCCATTTTGAGTTATCTCCATAATTAAATGGAAACTAATCCATTGTTTTTTGAGCGGGAAAATATTCTTGAACATTAAATTAATTAAAACAATTCACAAAATGAATCAAGAGTAAATATTTTAAATAATTTTCCTGATTATTCTAATAGCTGAATATCTGTGCGTGACTACGTGTTGAAGTAAGGATGATTTCTGTCGTGACCGCCAGGTTCTTACCGTTCTGTACCAAGTTTATTTATAAAGCACATTTAAAACAGCATGACAGCTGACCAAAGTGCTGCACAGTGGTAATGAAAAGGAAAACCACAAGATAAAAATCATATAGGAGATAAAAGGGATAGCCTAAAACTTTAAAAGAAACATAATAGAGTAAAAACAGAGTCACAATAAAAACATAAAAACAATAGAAGCTTGGTCATTGATCAAAAACTAAATGATAGAAGTAGGCCTTCAGTACAGACTTGAATCGACCCAGGGACGGGACCTGCCGAACTCTTAGGCTTGGTTTATGCTTGACGCATTCACTTCCCGCTTGGTGATGCGGCTCGCGGATGGAACGCGCTTCACAACTTGCAGCGTTTATGGTTCATGCGGCTTGTCTCTGCGGTGAGCCAATATTATCCCAAACTGTAGGGGGCAGCATGGAGCTCTACGGCATGCATCCAACACTACACCATAGTAGAAGTAGAAATGACTGTTTACAACATGGCATTCCAGCATTTTTTTACAGTGTTCTCGTCTTTTCCGACAGTGCGAGCCATTTCTCTCCAAGAATTATTAACAACATGTTGATCGCGGTGATCTCTGAGAGCTGAATCATACAAATGTCTGTATTTACGAACCTCTGCCATACTAGTTCTTGCCAGTCCGCCATGTTTTTCCGCGTCCGACCGTCCGCGTGGTTAGAAAATTTCCTATGTGCGCGGTGCGGAAAGTTTGGGCCGTGCGGAGGCGCGGTGGAGGGGCGCGGTTGTTAAAATGACACAATTTGCGAACCTCGCGGACGCGTCAAGCATAAACCAAGCCTAAGGGGGAGAGCATTCCAAAGTTTAGGGGCAGCGAACGCAAAGGCCCGCTCCCCACCAGATTTGTACTTCATTTTTGGGACACACAAAAGCAAGTGATCTGCCGATCTCAGGTGTCTGGGTGGAGCATACAAGTTCTGACGGATGAGCAGGGGCTTGACCATTCAGGGTGTTGGAAACAACGATTAAAACCTTAAGCTGGATCTGATATTTAACGGGCAGCCAGTGCAAGCGTGCAAGGACAAGTGAACTGTGACAGCGTCTAGAGGTGTTTGTCACACCCAACAGTTCAATTTCTGGAAAAATACAATCCTGAAATACCAAACTAGTATTCCAGCATGTCGTACAAAACACACAGAAAACAAATCAACAGAATTTCTTCTGAATGTAAATGAAGGCGGGCCTAAAATCAGCAGAATTAGACAAAAAGTAATAAATTCAGAAACACAGTTTTTATGGAAAATGATAAATGAGCAGTACAGCAGCGTTCAGAGCCGAAGCACACGTGTGTCACTGTTTCCTGTTTCTGTGCGACTCAGGTTCAGCTTACCGTCACGTGAATGTTTGCAATGCTGCGTTTCAGGATTCCAGCGGCGGCGCTCAGCAGCAACAGTTTGTGACCCGGTGGGTGTCGTGATGTGACTCTGTGATAA